CTTAAGGTCACAAAAAATACATCATGACTTAAACTGTTATCTGCACGCTCTTCATCAATATACAATATATTAAGAGCTTTATACGCGCCGTCTAGTAGATGTATAGCAATGGGGAAAATTTTAGACTTGATTTTTGTGCATTTTTTTCTTGTTTTAACAAAATCACATCGTTTTCAAATTTTCTAATAAAAATAGCTTTTCTGATGTACAACATGTCACAGAGCTTTAAGGGATTAAAATTAACGTTTAACTGAAGTGATAGTGCCATGTTTGAATATCATATTCTTTTTATAATTATCTTGTTTTATCTACCTAATAAATAACGTGCCAATGAGCCAGTCTATAGTCGATCATTCAAGTGACGGGAACCAAATTCGGGCAGGTAAAAAGGTATCATTAAAATACGGAACGGAGATTTTATTGGCGATACGGACACAGCGGAAATATTCTTTGCAAAACAGGCAAAACGTGTTCGACATGTAATTCATGAAAATAATTAACATTTATGTTATAAAACAGATCAACTGATTGAAAAAAATACGTTTACTTTAAAATGTATCACAATAGGTTATTTTTAAGGATTCTGTGACTGACGATTGTTCTCTTTCACCTTGATTTTTTACTTCATTTAGTGGTCCTATACTTAGATTCTAGGCGAATATGCATTCTTTAGTTTAATCAAATAGTTTAATCGTTTATAAATAAGAAAACAATACGTAACTAAGAATTGATAATATATATATATATATATATATATCAATTTATTCATAACTATCATTTGATATAGGGCCCGTAAGTCTCGTTTACTTTCACTTTCGATTTACCACTTCCGGGTACATCGGCAGACTTATTTACAGTTACGCATATAGGTAACCCGAAGAACTCGAAGGATATAGAAGTTAAATTTGTTTCGGTCCTCTTCAGATTTGAAGGAATGGATAGCACGGGTCAAAAAATGCAGGTAGGTCAATTATCTGACGGAAAAACGTGGGATTTATAGAGTTTAATAAAACTAGTTTATTTTCGGATAGTGACAATTGTTTCGGATGTTTTGTTAAGGTAGTGAATTCTAGTTGTTTAGCTTTTAGTATTGTTTTAAAACTACTGATGTGAGAAATTAATTCAAACCATTTTAACTTATTGAAATAAACAATGGAGAAACACTTTAATTCTAGTGTATATTAAAGTTATACAAAATTCGGACATTGCACAGTAATTCGGATATTTTTTCCCTTCCATTTTATTCTTGTTCCTTTTTCAATTATATATACATGTTAATATGGTACCTATCAAATTATGATTGAATTAAAAAATATAATATTTGATTAAACCATTTCAGATGTATAGACAAGGAGGTATATGGCAAGTATAGAATATACAGTTGTTCAATATGGACCATTAATCAACTGTTTGCATGAAATATCTATACAGTACATCAAAGGTAAATACATGTAAAATAATTGATCAATTTTTAGTTGAGATCGAAAAGATAAACAATTATCAAAATATATTAATAACTTTTGGATTTCACTGCAAGTAAATAAAACATTAAAAATAGTCATGTTTCACATTCAAGAAGATAAATATTTTTTACTGTTATATATTATGTGTTGTTGTTTATCTTTAATGTTTATTTACTTCATATGAAACTTTTCTGTCAATCATGACCAGCTTATTAAATGTAATGTAAATATCATTTCTAGTGTCGTACACTTGTAACAACATATTTATTGATTTTTCATTCTGCAGATAAAAAGGGAAAAGATGAAGGAGGATTTGTCCATGAAGACCTTTATTGCAACTACCATCTTCCAGTTCCTTAATTTGAGAATGATATCAGAGAACACAAAGTTACAGTATAATATTAGTTTAATATAAGCCACTGAGAATAGTCAAATGTACTTTCCTGAAGAAGATGAATGACATCCAGCACAAAAATATTAATGTATAAAGAGTATGATTTTATGGTGTTTGACACTATGATCTTGTTAACATGTTAATGTCACAATGATAGAAACAGAGTAAAATATCCACATTTCATTACAGTTTTAAGTATCAAAACTAGATACTCTATATATACCAAAGCTGATAACACACCAGAGATAAGGTTTTTCATGGAATCACAGTATAGTAATATGACATTATGGACATTAAATGACTATGAAGTAAAGATTAGCAAAAATATTATATATCATCTACTACTAATATTGTGAGGTAATCATTGATAAGCTCACAAATTTGCATTCAAAGCTTTGATATCACGCTGAACATTTTTCAATTAGAATATGATTTATAACTCTATGATAATTTGTTCATGTTAATTTTCAAAGTCTTTACATTTGTAAAAGGAAATATCCTTATTCTTGTATCAGTAGACATTCACAGTGTAAAGTTACATTGTCCAAATAACTAATAATAATTCCAAGTGCTTTCCTGAAGTTTTTCTTCCACTGGAAAATCAGTGTGATATATATGCTAAGCAGTGCACTATAAATTGTGTAAAAATAAAAGTTTATTAAACATATGAACTGTTTTTTGTTTCTACTATTTGGCATATATTTATAGCAGTGCTTAATCATAAAAGTTCATCTGCAAAATAAGTGTCACTGTGTACTTTAATTCTCTAACAGCAATGGCTAGATTGCTTGAAAATACAAGCATTGACTATATTAAATACTATGCACGTCATTTGAATTTTGTCTGTCCTGAAATCGAAACAGACACTATCTAAATAATATTGATGAAAAGTTCTTGACAGCTCTTCAATGACTACATTTACACATATGTACATGGACAGAAGTTAAAAGCATTGTGTGGTGTTTTTTTTGTTGTTTTTTTTGAAACATTGACAATTTTGAAACAGTTCCAATGGGTATATTAATGTATCAGTGATGTAATTGTTTTGTATCAAGTGCAAACCCTAAGTTTTGCATGTATTGTATAGATAATTCACTTTTGGTCAAATGTCAACAACTTCAATACATTATAAAACAGGTAATTTGAAACCCAAAGAAGTATATGGTATGTAATAACTACCCCTCTGATACTAAAATCTTCAAGGAATGCAGAATTGCAAGTCTTCTCCAATTAAGAGAGAGACTTGGGCTTACAAGGACTAGCAAGCTAGTGTTTTGCTACAGAATACTCAACACAGATGAATTGCATTAATATTGTTTACTCTGGTATTTACTACCTGCCATGTACAATGCAAATCATGGCTTTTTCTAAGAGCAGTGAAAGGCTATAACTGGAAGAAATTTTACACATCTTGCCTCAGAAACAAGTTTTTCTTTGAGATGATTTTTTATGATATTTAAATAATGGTTAAAGATTACATTACTTTTACAATTGCAGTGATCATGGTGATAATATGAAATGAAACTCAATCAAGATAGAAACATTTTAATGCTGAACATTAATCTTTTTACCATTCCTGTTACTTTACAAGTCTATTTATAAAAAATTTATCTGAACTGTTTTTGAAACTACATGATGCCTGGTTGAAAATGTTTTGGGGCAGCCATTTGCAGAAGATAAATTATCTTTGAATAATTAAGTTAATACAAAGTTACAAATGAAAGGTTATTTATTTCTAACAAAGACAGGTTATTTATTTCTTACAAAGACAGATATTTTGTTTAACATTTTTACACTGACATATATCTTTGAAGTGTCTTCAACCTTAGTTTTTATTAGAATACAAACATTCAGTCAGACAGTTTACACAAGACATGGAGCTTTAAGAAGCTTTAATTCAGTCAAAATCTGTAATGGACTGCCATGTCTCTACCACTATGTACTCCAAGACTGTGTATGGACATTTCCTTTCAACTATGCCTGGTGGTATCACTATTTGATTTCTAATCTGATAGTGAACACTCCAAAATAAATCAAGAGCGATGACAAGTACTCAAGATCCAACCATGAAATCACATACCTGTATATAAAGAAAATTTATCATGAGTTGAAAGCAATAATAATTGGTCAGCTATAAATTTCAATCATTTTCATATTGTCATGAATAGAAAATAATGTTGAAAAGGAAGAAACACTTCTTGGTGTCCTAGTTTTTGTAGATTGCTTTGACAACTGATCTTTAAAAAATGTGATAGTGACTAAGTTCTTTTAACCATTTACTGAACATGATTTAACTAAAAAATATGACCCACTTACTTGAGAAAAATACTTTAAACAGTATTTAACATGAATTAACTACATATGCCATACTGTTTGTTTATTTAGCTACACTGTAATTATTTACAAAAACGAGAACATATATGTTATACAATAATATTTATTTTTCATTAATGTAGTTTAAGTAGCTTTAAGTATATATTTCTTACCAAAACGATTTTACAGCAGAACATGCATGTGTATTTACACCGGATACCAGTTGACGTCTTTCATCTCACCACTTTCCTCAGTCTAAATATCTACAGGAGCAAAATATTTCATTGAATTTTATGACAATTTAAATTGGTTATATACAGCTTGACTGTTTGTGCTTTATAAAGATAATAATTATAAATAAATAATATTTTCAGTTGGAAGAAAATATATTCAACTAAAACACACTGATAATCATATTGAAACGTTTATCCGAAATATGCGCTGTCCGAAAATTCTAAACATTATATACTTCTGAGAGATAATCAGGTAGCGCTATAGAAAATTGATAAAATCAAATTCACCAGTCTGGTGTCAGATGCGAATGATGTTGTATCAAAAAACAAATTTATTAGATTTACATGCAAATGAAAATATTACAACATTTATTGGGATAAACTGAATTTTAAATGACACACCCACCTGAAGATTATACGAAGTTGTCTTTCATTGATACTTGTTCACAAGATGAGACCATTTGCATTTCGTTACAAAACAAAAACTCTGCCAATTTCCACATATCATTTGCTTTTCCATGTAAGTTTTACTTTCCCACCGGCATACAAGTATTACCCAATATAGATAAGCAATGTTGTTGATATTTGTTTGTACCCGGAAGTGCAAAATATCGTGAAATCTCGCAAGTCACATGACGAGACTTACATACCCTATTACAGACATATTTTTTGCTATTTGTGAAATAAAAGACAGTTCGTCCTCAAATTCATTCGAACGAACATTATGCAATCCGCACCAATATTTAAATGGACATATTCTCGGCACATACTGTCTTGAATTCATTTTAAGTTTACCAGTCATTTCATTTTTTCTTGTTATCCAATCCATTTTGCTTCGACCAGACGTTTCAATCATTGTCGCAACAGACAAACATTTCAGACTTTCAGACACATAATAAGAACATGGAGAAAAAAATTGATTAGTGCTTCGGATATTCAACTGTAATAGGGAACGATTTTCAATTCAGATTTTGACTGTTCACATCATTTGGCGGCGTCTTTGATATACGAAAACAACATTTAATTTGTAAATAATTATAGCATCCTTCATCTCTCGGGATTAAATGGTGAGAAAATTGTATGTACAATATTATTTATGTCACAACATTAAATAAATGTATTGTTTGTTGTTGTTGTTTTAATCGTATATTCGTCTTTAACGCTCTATATAAATTGTGGAAATTTGAACTTAAAACCGGAAGGATGATAATTGTACTCTACATGTTTGTCTACATGTTGGTAAACAAACTCATATTTTAAATAAATACACGTGCACTTTTTATATTCAGTTAAGAAACTCAATTATATTAATACCAATTGAAAAAAAATCTTATGCTGCTTCAAGATATCAATACTTTTTCTATAAATACAGGATTTATTTTCATCGAGTTGTATGAAAATAGATATTTCATAGATGGCGGTAGCCACGAGTGAAACATGATAATAATTATTATCATACCATAAGATGAAGAATATAGAGGATATTCAACTTGTATCTATAAATACGGGATTTATTTTTATCGTGTGGTATGAAAGTAAATATTTCATAGATGGCGGTAGCCACGAGTGAAATATGATAATTTTTATACCACAACATGAAAATAAAGTTTGTACGTATTTATAGAAAAAAACTTGAATTTTCTGTTTATTATATGCATTTTTCTTTTTGATATTACAATTTGAAATATTTCCCATAAATTTTGTGTACTTGCTGAATTTAGAAAAAAGTAGTCCGGCCAGACACCAGTGAAAATACGGAAAATATGTTTCACTGCAGTGAAAGATAGATTTGTACAGTGAAAATACGGAAAATGAAAATATGCATTTTATATTATCAATATTTTTCAGTATTTCATTTATTAGTATATGATAAATGAATGTATATATAGTAAACACTTAAGTTTTCTGTTTATTTTTACAAATTTTCTAATTTTGACATTATAATCCGGTAGACTTCTCTTTAAATTTGTGTGTATTGGCTGAATTTAGAAGGAAATAGTTCAGCAAGACACCAGTAAAAAATACAGTAATTATTTTTCACTGCAGTGAAAAATGATTTTTTACAATGAAAATATGGGGAAAAATGCATTTTATTTCATCAATATTTCTCAATATTCCATTTAAAATTATAACATATAATAAATGATGATATTGATGATATATATTGACTATTGTATTTCATTTTATTAATGATAATATCTGTATTTCACTGTACAATTATCTTAAGGAAGGTTTTGGGAAAACTTGGCATATTGCTAGGAAAATTATAATAGAAGCATTTTAAGTGAAACAGATTTGGGGTCACCGCTGTCACTTCTGAGTTATCTGCCCTTGAATCAGACTTTTTTTACTAACATAAGGTCATTTCAAGGGTAGATAACTTATACATATGTCTACATCATCTTTTTTTTACTTCTTGGTTATGTTTTTCGTCTTTCTAATGTTGATCACAATACATAATTACAGTTAATTCCATATCTTATTTCTGTTAAAATGTTTCAGTTCGAATAAAGGGATTTAATTTTTCTGTAAATAAGAAATTTCTTACCAAAAATGGTACAGATTTAGGAAAGAAGGGGAAAATAGCAAATCCATTCTTTATTCTGTATAGACTTTTGTCACATGGACTTAAACAGAAGTAAACTGTACAAAGAAAGCAACAATAGGTATATATTAGATATATTTAGGCTTCAAACCCATAATATATAGAATTTATACAGAAATTCATGCTTAGAAAACTTTAAAAATGTCAGTTTAGCGTGATTTGAGGACATAGTATCATTTTAAAAATTTTGTCATTAATTTGCCTGAGTGTGCATTTAAAGTCACTAGAAATTACACTAAATGCATTGCCGTTTTATATCGGTTGATTAACTTTTGCACTTTGGTTCCACGTACTGGCAGAGAAGACCCTGAAGATTTATGTTACACCAGTTTCCCCATTCCATATTTGATTGTTAAATATCATCGGCGTTGAGCCTGATTCATCTCGCTTTTCATATGGGCTTTGTATTTTTGTGGTATTTGGTGTGATCGAATTCTCGGCTGCTGGATTACTAGTCCAGCGTGGTACCACGGAACCGAGATTCCACTCCTGTTTGAGAATGGTCATATACACATGGTGTTTTGGCAAACGATTTGTTATAGACTAAGTGTTGCAGTATATGAAACCAGTTAGTATCGAGGATATAACACTGGTTGGCCGATATCGAGGGATGTTTCTGCTAAAAAAATGTCAAAGCCTTAAGTCGCCCCAGCCAGTATTATAACCCCGTAACTTACAAATTTCGTTTATTATAACTGTTTTATCGCAATTTCATTTTTTGTAATAGAAATCTGTAAAAAAACAAAGAAAGGATCGCTTGGCGTGCGGATTAAGATCCAGACAAGAGCAAGCAGTTGTTCTACTAAAGAAGAAACTTTACACTTATTATTTCGTACTGGTTTATTCAATGATTGTATATGATAGTGTTTCTTAAAGCTTATTGCTTCCTACACCAATCGAACTAAATAAATACTGTATAAACTAAAGTAAGAAAACAAATAAGAAATGCTAGGTCTTCAAATACTAGGTAAAACACGCAGGAAAATCTAATTTGATATAACATTAGTACAGAAAATTATTGTATTGATTGGGCTATTTTACTTCATTCTTAAATATGATATCAATTTTTATTATCATTTTTTACATATACTTATAAAGCAAAATTAAGGTTCTGCTACTTCACGAAATTTCACTTTGTGACAATAATTATCAAATTAGTTTTAGACAGTAAGGGAACTAATTTTATATAGAATTATTACAAGTAAGCCGATACTCTCCCTTTAAACATCACTGTAAGCTATTTATAAGTGGTGTATTTCTATGAAGGAGATGAATACGTAAACAATGAGGAATTTTAAGTGTCTGAAACAATTGTATTGATTAAAAAAAACACTATAATTGTGATAAAGAGCTTTACATCCGGGTATCTAAAATACTTCATGTATGTCAATATGAATAACTTTTATTGAGACTGGATGGAGGGTGACTATATTAATTTTCACCTAGATGTCAAAAGCATTCCGAATTTACTATGGACGAGACCATCTAAATATTATAGTTGAATTCGCTATTCCTTTAATTATCTGTTTACATCAAAATTGACATAAAGGGGTGACGATAATACTCATATAAAAGCTGGTCAAAGTGTTCAAATGACGTTGCACGGTCGCCCATATGGGCTTTCCGGCGGCGACCTTAACGTTACGTTAAAATTTACGCCAATTCTTTAAATTATACGAAACGCTTTTCCAAACAGAAATATGCAGTTTTTAAACAGTGCGCAGTGCACATCAGTTGTATGTAAACAAAATAGCAATTCGTTACTGCGCTAAAAAAATGATGACCGGTTTCCGCAGTTTCAAGATATGAGTACAATGACTCATTTTTACATTTTTTAAGGTTAAGTACAAACTGCACTGATAAACTTGTACTTGTAACATGGAACCTCGCTGAATCGTATCTTAAGTACCAAGAAAGAAATTTCAAGGAAAATATGAGCTAACAAATCTTATTTCATCTATTCAAACGACTCTTGACATAATTATTGTCCTTGCAACAGAAACAAACTTTCCGTTATTTTATTTCGAGTGCCAAGATGTTTTCCAAGTATTTCTCTTCATTGTAACATCTCGTGAATGATATGTATATAACTGGAATAAACACTTTAATGTTAACAGAATAAGGAAGATAACACATTACATGGATATCATTGTTTTATAGAACGGACACTCCAAACAAGAGTATATAATTGAGAGACAATTGTTACGTTTAGTAGATGTGTGCTTAAGACGCTTGAAGTTGTTGAAATCTCGTCCTGCTTTATATAAAATTAAGGGGAAAACCAAATTTCCTTGAAATTAAATCATTAAACGTAATGTAAGTAGCATGCCTTAAGATCCATACGTATTTTCATAACAATTAGGAAAATGTATTTTAAAGTAAAATATTGTAAAGCGTACAAAGGAAGTTAATTACTGATTGCATACAATCCACGTAAATTACCAATAGGCAAAAAAAGCTCCTACTGCATCAGTCACGCAGAAGACATATGGTGATATTTTATTTTGCAAATATTTTGCGTTATTTTAAATGTACTCTGTCAAGTCGTTATCGTTGTAATAGTTAATGCTAATAAGTGAATATCTGGGTTTCTTTTTAGTGAGATAAAACCCAAATCACGCAGAGTATATCACTCATGGCGGTGTGAACAAAGTTTTTATCGATTTTTTTGTGGCCTACGTATTATTTTATGATACCGTAAATGTCCTAAAAATGCATTGTGTATCTTTAAATCATTTTTTTTAATTCAAGGACAATACCTGCGCTAAAAAAATAAGATTAACTTCTTTTGTTTTGCGCAGTACTTAGTACGCGTAGCCGTTGGTCTGTACTGTCCTAGGATGATAATTTGGTCTTAACGGTACATGGGAAAGTCCAAAAACGGGGTTATCTGGATTAATATCCGATATCGTAAAAGTAAACAGTTACATATACTTTATACCATAATTCTTACAGTAGTATTACCGTTATGGCTCTGCCGGTAGATCGAAATTATTGTAACTTTTAATGTATTGTACTGATAGGTTCGAACCCCATGTAGTGCCATTTTATAACCACAGTTTTTACTTCTTGCTCATTTTTTAT